CACGCAGGTCACTGGGAGACGCAGCGCAGCAGCGTGGGTTCAGCTCCTGAGAACCTCAGCAGGACATCTGCATCTCAACCTCAACCCTACCTTCCACTCATCAAACCATATATTCTGCAGGCAGGAGTCTTGTTTCTGGCCAGGAGGATCTGTAGCTGAGCTTACAGATGATGCTGAAGACAACAGGCAGTTTGTGGCTTGTACTTCGTAGGACCACCAGGTGGAGCCAGAGGACTTTTTCTTTTTCCACCAGAAATTATCTGTCTAATATCAATCTGTCAGGACATTGTGACAGTTTTAACAAATACTGTATGTCAAAAATAATTTTTTTAAAAAGTTACAGACTGCATCTTTAATGTGATAACTAAATATAATAAATTGTTTTGCATTTGTTACTACTAATTTTAAGAAGTTTTTTTTCTGATAAACCTAAAAAAACTGTAAAAATATCCTACAAGTATGTAAAAACCTGCAGGAACTTCCTAAGCCTGTGTGACAAAGTGATACCATTCTTAAGTGCATTTCAGGGCCACATTGGGAGTCATAAATGGCCTGTGGGCYAGACTTTGTACACCCCTGCTCTGTAACTCACTGCATAAAGCTGTGTTTTAATTGTTAACTGGATGGACTAATTATTAATTATTAAAAGCTTTCACTGTGATCAACATTAGCCAACATAAATGGCTGTAAGTGTTTCAGTTATAGGGATGTTGCTGTAAGCTGTGGTATGTTGTGGTTCCTGTCAGCACTTCCGTACACACCTGTAGGCCCTCTTTATGTCGTCGGGGGAGGCTCCTTTCTCCAGGCCCAGGACCCTGTACAGGTTCTGTCCTGTCCTGGACAGTCTCCTCTGAGGTCTGTTCGGATCCTCCATGATTCACGACAATGTGGCTGCCGAACAAAACAAATACAAACTCAGCCATTAAAACAATAATTACTGATACAAGTAAATGAGTAAACCTCTGCTGAGGAAGTAAATGTCGCGTATTGAAGCCTTAACATTGTGTAACTGGTAGTTCAGAGGTAAACTTTAACACATGATTATGACTCAAGTAATTTACTAGTTTTACTAACTTGTTAACCATCCGTGCAGGTCGTACCTCCGTTAAACTAGCAGCAGTTTCACTAACTTTTTATCGTCAATCGTGGTTATTGGTGTTGTTAAAAACAGGTAAAGCTCACGTACCGATGCAAAATAAATAAGATGGTTTCCCGCCGAGTCATAGAGTCCGACAGTTACCACTTCACTGACTTTGAACTAAAAATGTTCAACTTTATCGTGAAGCGAAAGTCTCAAACTTTCCTCCACCCCCTCCCTCCCTGTCGTCCTGCACGCCGTCCCGGAAGCTTCAGTGCGAAAGGCATTCTGGGTAAAAAATAAAGAAAAAATGGCACGAGATGAGACGTGGGGCCGCCATCTTGGTACGGTCGTCCCCTCCCCTCAGTGTGATCTGTGCAGCAGGCACAATTAAGTTTCAACACGTTTAATAAATCATAACTCGCTGAAAGCTGAAGTGACTTTCTTTAGCTGCAAACATTATACATACAGCTAGCAYAGCTACATGTGTAAGAGCACGTGGTTGTGTGTATTTAAATATTATTGGGGTTAAAGGTACCCAGTAATACAGTATATTTTGCAAAACAGAGTGATCAATGCATATACATGTATGTATGTATGTATGTATGTATGTATGTATGTATGTATGTATGTATGTATGTATGTATGTATGTATGT